GCTTTTTATCTTCGATCTTTCTCATTATTCATTCAACGTCTCAAGGGGATTGCGCCATCCTTCCTGCTTCCTGCCAGTCGCCGTAAAACTTCTTGAAGGGCGTCCACGCCACTCAGGCTACCTTGGGAATGAAGCACTGGTACATTCGATGCACCCTCATGTGCCAGTGGGTGAGCGAAAGCCGGCGATGTTTCTGGTCACAATGTGCCACACCAACTTCGTTGAGATTACGTGAGCGGCTTCTTGTGGTCTGGATGGTCACTCTTTGAATCCGAACTGCAAGCGTAGTATTTACGGCATCGTTTTTACGATAATGACATCAGACTTCATCAGACGAGCAGCTCGATTGAAAGACCTACATGATATATGTGTGGACAGCCTATACATCAGGGTGCAAGCAGAATAAACTCCGATGAATCAACACTTTGAATCTACCTTCTCCTATTCAAGTCGTTTGCACTTCCTGTGCAGACTTCCTTCGTGCTCTTCAAGCTTCCTCGACAAAGCCTCTTACCCTTTGACATCCATCAATGTCCACAAGACAAAGCGTTTCTCATTGTATTCGCTGTCTTCATCATAATCTTTCAGTGAACATTGATCAATGCCCTCAAGCTGCACAAGCTGCGTGGATCTCCTCAATAGTCGTACTTAAGCTTATGCTGGTACAGCTATCTCCCCACGATGTGTACTCCAATTTACCGCTGTACACAGAGTATCGAGATTCGCGTTTATTACTGAAGTATCTATTTACCAGCATCCACCATTGCTGCCTTCTTCCTCTGTTGCTCCATAAGGTCATTCATCAACACCTTTCAATGTAATGCGTCCACAGTCTCGTGATACTCATCCAGGTTCAGAATAAAGTGATCTGACATCTTCGAATCTCGCAGATCAAACCGATCGTCACGTCTTTCTCCATTTCGGTGTCTGTGCTATTCATCTTGGCGGTGGTGTCCAGGACCTTTTTGCAGTGTTACTACACTTGACATCCATCCATTTGGTAGTACCGAAGATCTGTCGCATGATATATAGAGCTACCTGGTTCGAACCGTGCGGGTAGTCGAGATCGCTCAATCCGAACTGCAAGTTGACGGCAACCTTTTTAGAGGTAACTACGCCTGAGATGATCGGACAAATCGAACATTTCGACGAGCAGTGCGATTGGATGCACCAATGATCGGAGGTGGACATCTTAGCTGCGTAGGCAGAGTTAGATCTGCTTTTTATCTTCGATCTTTCTCATTATTCATTCAACGTCTCAAGGGGATTGCGCCATCCTTCCTGCTTCCTGCCAGTCGCCGTAAAACTTCTTGAAGGGCGTCCACGCCACTCAGGCTACCTTGAGAATGAAGCACTGGTACATTCGATGCACCCTCATGTGCCAGTGGGTGAGCGAAAGCCGGCGATGTTTCTGGTCACAATGTGCCACACCAACTTCGTTGAGATTACGTGAGCGGCTTCTTGTGGTCTGGATGGTCACTCTTTGAATCCGAACTTCAAGCGTAGTATTTACGGTATCGTTTTTACGATGATGACATCAGACTTCATCAGACGAGCAGCTCGATTGAAAGACCTACATGATATATATGTGGACAGCCTATACATCAGGGTGCAAGTAGAATAAACTCCGATGAATCAACACTTCTGAATCTACCTTCTCCTATTCAAGTCGTTTGCACTTCCTGTGCAGACTTCCTTCGTGCTCTTCAAGCTTCCTCGACAAAGCCTCTTACCCTTTGACATCCATCGATGTCCACAAGACAAAGCGTTTCTCACTGTATTCGCTGTCTTCATCATAATCTTTCAGTGAACATTGATCAATGCTCTCAAGCTGCACAAGCTGCGTGGATCTCCTCAATAGTCGTACTTAAGCTTATGCTGGTACAGCTATCTCCCCACGATGTGTACTCCAATTTACCGCTGTACACAGAGTATCGAGATTCGCGTTTATTACTGAAGTATCTATTTACCAGCATCCACCATTGCTGCCTTCTTCCTCTGTTGCTCCATAAGGTCATTCATCAACACCTTTCACTGTAATGCGTCTACAGTCTCGTGATACTCATCCAGGTTCAGAATAAAGTGATCTGACATCTTCAAATCTCGCAGATCAAACCGATCGTCACGTCTTTCTCCATTTCGGTGTCTGTGCGATTCATCTCGGCGGTGGTGTCCAGGATCAATTTGCAGTGTTACTACACTTGACATCCATCCATTTGGTAGTACCGAAGATCTGTCGCATGATATATAGAGCTACCTGGCTCGAACCGTGCGGGTAGTCGAGATCGCTCAATCCGAACTGCAAGTTGACGGCAACCTTTTCAAGGTAACTACGCCTGAGATGATCGGACAAATCGAACATTTCGACGAGCAGTGCGATTGGATGCACCAATGATCGGAGGTGGACATCTTAGCTGCGTAGGCAGAGTTGGATCTGCTTTTTATCTTCGATCTTTCTCATTATTCATTCAACGTCCCAAGGGTATTGCGTTATCCTTCCTGCTTCCTGCCAGTCGCCGTAAAACTTCTTGAAGGCCGTCCACGCCACTCAGGCTACCTTGAGAATGAAGCACTGGTACATTCGATGCACTCTCATGCGACAGTGGGTGGGCGAAAGCCGGCAATATTTCTGGTCACAACGTGCCACACCAACTTCGTTGAGATTACGTGAGCGGCTTCTTGTGGTCTGGATGGTCACTCTTTGAATCCGAACTTCAAGCGTAGTATTTACGGCATCGTTTTTACGATAATGACATCAGACTTCATCAGACGAGCAGCTCGATTGAAAGACCTACATGATATGTGCGTGGACAGCTTATACATCAGGGTGCAAGCAGAATAAACTCCGATGAATCAACACTTCTGAATCTACCTTCTCCTATTCAAGTCGTTTGCACTTCCTGTGCAGACTTCCTTCGTTCTCTTCAAGCTTCCTCGACAAAGCCTCTTACCCTTTGACATCCATCAATGTCCACAAGACAAAGCGTTTCTCATTGTATTCGCTGTCTTCATCATAATCTTTCAGTGAACATTGATCAATGCCCTCAAGCTGCACAAGCTGCGTGGATCTCCTCAATAGTCGTACTTAAGCTTATGCTGGTACAGCTATCTCCCCACGATGTGTACTCCAATTTACCGCTGTACACAGAGTATCGAGATTCGCGTTTATTACTGAAGTATCTATTTACCAGCATCCACCATTGCTGCCTTCTTCCTCTGTTGCTCCATAAGGTCATTCATCAACACCTTTCAATGTAATGCGTCCACAGTCTCGTGATACTCATCCAGGTTCAGAATAAAGTGATCTGACATCTTCGAATCTCGCAGATCAAACCGATCGTCACGTCTTTCTCCATTTCGGTGTCTGTGCTATTCATCTTGGCGGTGGTGTCCAGGACCTTTTTGCAGTGTTACTACACTTGACATCCATCCATTTGGTAGTACCGAAGATCTGTCGCATGATATATAGAGCTACCTGGTTCGAACCGTGCGGGTAGTCGAGATCGCTCAATCCGAACTGCAAGTTGACGGCAACCTTTTTAAGGTAACTACGCCTGAGATGATCGGACAAATCGAACATTTCGACGAGCAGTGCGATTGGATGCACCAATGATCGGAGGTGGACATCTTAGCTGCGTAGGCAGAGTTAGATCTGCTTTTTATCTTCGATCTTTCTCATTATTCATTCAACGTCTCAAGGGGATTGCGCCATCCTTCCTGCTTCCTGCCAGTCGCCGTAAAACTTCTTGAAGGGCGTCCACGCCACTCAGGCTACCTTGGGAATGAAGCACTGGTACATTCGATGCACCCTCATGTGCCAGTGGGTGAGCGAAAGCCGGCGATGTTTCTGGTCACAATGTGCCACACCAACTTCGTTGAGATTACGTGAGCGGCTTCTTGTGGTCTGGATGGTCACTCTTTGAATCCGAACTTCAAGCGTAGTATTTACGGCATCGTTTTTACGATAATGACATCAGACTTCATCAGACGAGCAGCTCGATTGAAAGACCTACATGATATATGTGTGGACAGCTTATACATCAGGGTGCAAGCAGAATAAACTCCGATGAATCAACACTTTGAATCTACCTTCTCCTATTCAAGTCGTTTGCACTTCCTGTGCAGACTTCCTTCGTGCTCTTCAAGCTTCCTCGACAAAGCCTCTTACCCTTTGACATCCATCAATGTCCACAAGACAAAGCGTTTCTCATTGTATTCGCTGTCTTCATCATAATCTTTCAGTGAACATTGATCAATGCCCTCAAGCTGCACAAGCTGCGTGGATCTCCTCAATAGTCGTACTTAAGCTTATGCTGGTACAGCTATCTCCCCACGATGTGTACTCCAATTTACCGCTGTACACAGAGTATCGAGATTCGCGTTTATTACTGAAGTATCTATTTACCAGCATCCACCATTGCTGCCTTCTTCCTCTGTTGCTCCATAAGGTCATTCATCAACACCTTTCAATGTAATGCGTCCACAGTCTCGTGATACTCATCCAGGTTCAGAATAAAGTGATCTGACATCTTCGAATCTCGCAGATCAAACCGATCGTCACGTCTTTCTCCATTTCGGTGTCTGTGCTATTCATCTTGGCGGTGGTGTCCAGGACCTTTTTGCAGTGTTACTACACTTGACATCCATCCATTTGGTAGTACCGAAGATCTGTCGCATGATATATAGAGCTACCTGGTTCGAACCGTGCGGGTAGTCGAGATCGCTCAATCCGAACTGCAAGTTGACGGCAACCTTTTTCAAGGTAACTACGCCTGAGATGATCGGACAAATCGAACATTTCGACGAGCAGTGCGATTGGATGCACCAATGATCGGAGGTGGACATCTTAGCTGCGTAGGCAGAGTTAGATCTGCTTTTTATCTTCGATCTTTCTCATTATTCATTCAACGTCTCAAGGGGATTGCGCCATCCTTCCTGCTTCCTGCCAGTCGCCGTAAAACTTCTTGAAGGGCGTCCACGCCACTCAGGCTACCTTGGGAATGAAGCACTGGTACATTCGATGCACCCTCATGTGCCAGTGGGTGAGAGGAAAGCCGGCGATGTTTCTGGTCACAATGTGCCACACCAACTTCGTTGAGATTACGTGAGCGGCTTCTTGTGGTCTGGATGGTCACTCTTTGAATCCGAACTGCAAGCGTAGTATTTACGGCATCGTTTTTACGATAATGACATCAGACTTCATCAGACGAGCAGCTCGATTGAAAGACCTACATGATATATGTGTGGACAGCCTATACATCAGGGTGCAAGCAGAATAAACTCCGATGAATCAACACTTTGAATCTACCTTCTCCTATTCAAGTCGTTTGCACTTCCTGTGCAGACTTTCTTCGTGCTCTTCAAGCTTCCTCGACAAAGCCTCTTACCCTTTGACATCCATCAATGTCCACAAGACAAAGCGTTTCTCATTGTATTCGCTGTCTTCATCATAATCTTTCAGTGAACATTGATCAATGCCCTCAAGCTGCACAAGCTGCGTGGATCTCCTCAATAGTCGTACTTAAGCTTATGCTGGTACAGCTATCTCCCCACGATGTGTACTCCAATTTACCGCTGTACACAGAGTATCGAGATTCGCGTTTATTACTGAAGTATCTATTTACCAGCATCCACCATTGCTGCCTTCTTCCTCTGTTGCTCCATAAGGTCATTCATCAACACCTTTCAATGTAATGCGTCCACAGTCTCGTGATACTCATCCAGGTTCAGAATAAAGTGATCTGACATCTTCGAATCTCGCAGATCAAACCGATCGTCACGTCTTTCTCCATTTCGGTGTCTGTGCTATTCATCTTGGCGGTGGTGTCCAGGACCTTTTTGCAGTGTTACTACACTTGACATCCATCCATTTGGTAGTACCGAAGATCTGTCGCATGATATATAGAGCTACCTGGTTCGAACCGTGCGGGTAGTCGAGCTCGCTCAATCCGAACTGCAAGTTGACGGCAACCTTTTTTAGAGTAACTACGCCTGAGATGATCGGACAAATCGAACATTTCGACGAGCAGTGCGATTGGATGCACCAATGATCGGAGGTGGACATCTTAGCTGCGTAGGCAGAGTTAGATCTGCTTTTTATCTTCGATCTTTCTCATTATTCATTCAACGTCTCAAGGGGATTGCGCCATCCTTCCTGCTTCCTGCCAGTCGCCGTAAAACTTCTTGAAGGGCGTCCACGCCACTCAGGCTACCTTGGGAATGAAGCACTGGTACATTCGATGCACCCTCATGTGCCAGTGGGTGAGCGAAAGCCGGCGATGTTTCTGGTCACAACGTGACACACCAACTTCGTTGAGATTACGTGAGCGGCTTCTTGTGGTCTGCATGGTCACTCTTTGAATCCGAACTTCAAGCGTAGTATTGACGGCATCGATTTTACGATAATGACATCAGACTTCATCAGACAAGCAGCTCGATTGAAAGACCTACATGATTTATGTGTGGACAGCCTATACATCAGGGTGCAAGCAGAATAAACTCCGATGAATCAACACTTTTGAATCTACCTTCTCCTATTCAAGTCGTTTGCACTTCCTGTGCAGACTTGCTTCGTGCTCTCCAAGCCTCCTCGACAAAGCCTCTTACCCTTTGACATCCATCAATGTCCACAAGACAAAGCGTTTCTCATTGTATTCGCTGTCTTCATCATGATCTTTCAGTGAACATTGATCAATGCCCTCAAGCTGCACAAGCTGCGTGGATCTCCTCAATAGTCGTACTTAAGCTTATGCTGGTACAGCTATCTCCCCACGATGTGTACTCCAATTTACCGCTGTACACAGAGTATCGAGATTCGCGTTTATTACTGAAGTATCTATTTACCAGCATCCACCATTGCTGCCTTCTTCCTCTGTTGCTCCATAAGGTCATTCATCAACACCTTTCAATGTAATGCGTCCACAGTCTCGTGATACTCATCCAGGTTCAGAATAAAGTGATCTGACATCTTCGAATCTCGCAGATCAAACCGATCGTCACGTCTTTCTCCATTTCGGTGTCTGTGCTATTCATCTTGGCGGTGGTGTCCAGGACCTTTTTGCAGTGTTACTACACTTGACATCCATCCATTTGGTAGTACCGAAGATCTGTCGCATGATATATAGAGCTACCTGGTTCGAACCGTGCGGGTAGTCGAGCTCGCTCAATCCGAACTGCAAGTTGACGGCAACCTTTTTAAGGTAACTACGCCTGAGATGATCGGACAAATCGAACATTTCGACGAGCAGTGCGATTGGATGCACCAATGATCGGAGGTGGACATCTTAGCTGCGTAGGCAGAGTTAGATCTGCTTTTTATCTTCGATCTTTCTCATTATTCATTCAACGTCTCAAGGGGATTGCGCCATCCTTCCTGCTTCCTGCCAGTCGCCGTAAAACTTCTTGAAGGGCGTCCACGCCACTCAGGCTACCTTGAGAATGAAGCACTGGTACATTCGATGCACCCTCATGTGCCAGTGGGTGAGCGAAAGCCGGCGATGTTTCTGGTCACAATGTGCCACACCAACTTCGTTGAGATTACGTGAGCGGCTTCTTGTGGTCTGGATGGTCACTCTTTGAATCCGAACTGCAAGCGTAGTATTTACGGCATCGTTTTTACGATAATGACATCAGACTTCATCAGACGAGCAGCTCGATTGAAAGACCTACATGATATATGTGTGGACAGCCTATACATCAGGGTGCAAGCAGAATAAACTCCGATGAATCAACACTTTGAATCTACCTTCTCCTATTCAAGTCGTTTGACACTTCCTGTGCAGACTATCCTTCGTGCTCTTCAAGCTTCCTCGACAAAGCCTCTTACCCTTTGACATCCATCAATGTCCACAAGACAAAGCGTTTCTCATTGTATTCGCTGTCTTCATCATAATCTTTCAGTGAACATTGATCAATGCCCTCAAGCTGCACAAGCTGCGTGGATCTCCTCAATAGTCGTACTTAAGCTTATGCTGGTACAGCTATCTCCCCACGATGTGTACTCCAATTTACCGCTGTACACAGAGTATCGAGATTCGCGTTTATTACTGAAGTATCTATTTACCAGCATCCACCATTGCTGCCTTCTTCCTCTGTTGCTCCATAAGGTCATTCATCAACACCTTTCAATGTAATGCGTCCACAGTCTCGTGATACTCATCCAGGTTCAGAATAAAGTGATCTGACATCTTCGAATCTCGCAGATCAAACCGATCGTCACGTCTTTCTCCATTTCGGTGTCTGTGCTATTCATCTTGGCGGTGGTGTCCAGGACCTTTTTGCAGTGTTACTACACTTGACATCCATCCATTTGGTAGTACCGAAGATCTGTCGCATGATATATAGAGCTACCTGGTTCGAACCGTGCGGGTAGTCGAGATCGCTCAATCCGAACTGCAAGTTGACGGCAACCTTTTTAAGGTAACTACGCCTGAGATGATCGGACAAATCGAACATTTCGACGAGCAGTGCGATTGGATGCACCAATGATCGGAGGTGGACATCTTAGCTGCGTAGGCAGAGTTAGATCTGCTTTTTATCTTCGATCTTTCTCATTATTCATTCAACGTCTCAAGGGGATTGCGCCATCCTTCCTGCTTCCTGCCAGTCGCCGTAAAACTTCTTGAAGGGCGTCCACGCCACTCAGGCTACCTTGGGAATGAAGCACTGGTACATTCGATGCACCCTCATGTGCCAGTGGGTGAGCGAAAGCCGGCGATGTTTCTGGTCACAATGTGCCACACCAACTTCGTTGAGATTACGTGAGCGGCTTCTTGTGGTCTGGATGGTCACTCTTTGAATCCGAACTGCAAGCGTAGTATTTACGGTATCGTTTTTACGATAATGACATCAGACTTCATCAGACGAGCAGCTCGATTGAGAGACCTACATGATATATGTGTGGACAGCCTATGCATCAGGGTGCAAGCAGAATAAACTCCGATGAATCAACACTTCTGAATCTACCTTCTCCTATTCAAGTCGTTTGAATAGGAGAAGGTAGATTCAAAACTTCCTGTGCAGACTATCTTCGTGCTCTTCAAGCTTCCTCGACAAAGCCTCTTACTCTTTGACATCCATCAATGTCCACAAGACAAAGCGTTTCACATTGTATTCGATGTCTTCATCATAATCTTTCAGTGAACATTGATCAATGCCCTCAAGCTGCACAAGCTGCGTGGATCTCCTCAATAGTCGTACTTAAGCTTATGCTGGTACAGCTATCTCCCCACGATGTGTACTCCAATTTACCGCTGTACACAGAGTATCGAGATTCGCGTTTATTACTGAAGTATCTATTTACCAGCATCCACCATTGCTGCCTTCTTCCTCTGTTGCTCCATAAGGTCATTCATCAACACCTTTCAATGTAATGCGTCCACAGTCTCGTGATACTCATCCAGGTTCAGAATAAAGTGATCTGACATCTTCGAATCTCGCAGATCAAACCGATCGTCACGTCTTTCTCCATTTCGGTGTCTGTGCTATTCATCTTGGCGGTGGTGTCCAGGACCTTTTTGCAGTGTTACTACACTTGACATCCATCCATTTGGTAGTACCGAAGATCTGTCGCATGATATATAGAGCTACCTGGTTCGAACCGTGCGGGTAGTCGAGCTCGCTCAATCCGAACTGCAAGTTGACGGCAACCTTTTTTAAGGTAACTACGCCTGAGATGATCGGACAAATCGAACATTTCGACGAGCAGTGCGATTGGATGCACCAATGATCGGAGGTGGACATCTTAGCTGCGTAGGCAGAGTTAGATCTGCTTTTTATCTTCGATCTTTCTCATTATTCATTCAACGTCTCAAGGGGATTGCGCCATCCTTCCTGCTTCCTGCCAGTCGCCGTAAAACTTCTTGAAGGGCGTCCACGCCACTCAGGCTACCTTGAGAATGAAGCACTGGTACATTCGATGCACCCTCATGTGCCAGTGGGTGAGCGAAAGCCGGCGATGTTTCTGGTCACAATGTGCCACACCAACTTCGTTGAGATTACGTGAGCGGCTTCTTGTGGTCTGGATGGTCACTCTTTGAATCCGAACTGCAAGCGTAGTATTTACGGCATCGTTTTTACGATAATGACATCAGACTTCATCAGACGAGCA